GACGGGCAGTAGAATCCGTTCCTGCCCGTCGTCACTTGACGCCGGGCAGTGGATCCAGTTCCATTACCTTTGGCTTTGAGCAGGCAGGACCGCGCTTTCCAGCCCGCGCTGTTTGATCTGTCATTGGTCAACTCCAAGGCGACAATCACGTGACATACGGGAAACTTACTTCCTGTCAGCAGTGGCACTCGCAACATAAAAATCAGTTCGACAAAATCATTTTTTATTTTGGAACATAGAAACAAAATAAATACACATGCACAAGTACATGTACGGGTCTAATCCAACCGAAACAAAAACAAGAACATCTTGAACAAGAGACAACATCACGACAAACAGACAGCAACACGACAAACAGTTGGAATTAGCCACACGACGACCTAACAAACCAATGACGGAATTGCCATCGGCTCTTTGCCAGCAGTTAATCCTCGGCGTTGAATACTGCCGGAAGCAACAGAGGTTCAGGGAGAGGTGGCTGCTCTTCAACCTGTCAAGGAGTGTGTTCCTCATGTTGCGGTGCTAGGTATGGTTATTGAGGTGGCTGCATTTGTTCTGTGGTTACGAGTGCTTCATGTTGATGTGTTCACGCATGTTGTTGTGGTGATTGCCGCTGCCATGGCTCCGAAATACGGCCCTGCTTCGGCTATTACAGTTTACTGAGCCGGCTTATCTTCTGCAGGGAGAAACAGAAAAGATGTTGGAGGAACAATATCAGAAATTATTTCAAATTGGTGAGCATAAATACAACTACAAAACCTGGGAATCAGAGGGACTTTATTGTTTTGTGTGCTAGAATTATTAGTTACCCTAGTCCTAACAATTGACATTATAGGTCTTTTTTCTCTTCGCAAATTATCAAATAACAAGTGGACAAAATTATTCCAGACATTCGAGGGCATTACGGATTTAAAACAAATCAACCTTACATCCTTCCGAACCTACCTTTCGGGTGGAAATACCAACAACGGTCTCCGTACCGGCAGCCTTTTTTCTTGTAAAAAAACGGGCACAGAATTCTGCGGAGGTGTTTCCGTAGCAGGCCCATGATGTACAATATCGAATAAACACAAGTGGAGCACTTTTCCGATACCGGTACATGCATGAACCGATGGACAAGACAAATATTTCAGTTCCAGGCTCAGCCTTTTATACTGTCCACCCCGTACCTTCTATCCTGCTTCGGGTATAAACCCTACGATCATACTTGTGGGTATACTGGAATAGTCGTAATCTTATTCTGCATACAAATATACTTTATTCACGTAGCTATGCAGAAGACGTTACTTCAGTACATGTACCGTCTGGCGCTAGCAAGGGTCCACACAGCTTTAATTCCCGTAGCTTTGCAGAAGACATTACTTTACTATACGTCTGGCGCTAGCCAGGGTCCACACAGCTTTAATTCCCGTTGCTATGCAGACGTTGTTGTGTTGTTGTTTGGCTTTACTTGAAGTGGAGTTCCAAAACAGGCCTAAACCTAATGACAATGGTCCCACTGATAATAAGAGAAAATAAAAATATATAAAAATAGGCGGACACACAGAACCGAGGAGAAGATAGTTAGATAACTAATATTAGCACTGCAGCAGGGAAAAAAGGTCACACGCACGACAAACGGGAAGAAAGGAGTGAGTGAGAGAGAGAGGGAAAGAGAGTGAGAGAGAGAGAGAGAGAGAGAGAGAGAGAGAGAGAGACCTAGTGAAGCATATGACTATTTCGGCGCTTATCCTGAAAAGACGATAAGAAAGGGGCATAGGTAGCAGATTCATATCCAAATTCTGATAGTATAAAGGTCTTGAAAAACTGAACACGGCAAGAAAAAGGCAAACATGCTGCACTTCGATTTAGTAGACCAATCTTAGCGGCAACGCGGCGTGCAACATGGCTTGTCATGGTTTTCCAGCTCATGTCCGAGTCGAAAATATTTGGCCGTTTTCACAACAGGCAGCGTCTGCCCATTACAAATGACATGCAGATCAAGTGCTTTAGATGGGGACGGGGGAATAGGCAATATCTGTGTCTTTCTTTCATTAAGAACTAAACCTCGGCCCTTCAGCCAGGTGGCCAGGTGCATAACAGCAGCTGAAAGGTGTGCAGAAACAGCTTCCGAATACTCCCTGCTACATCGTATAGAGATGCCATCAGCAAACTGGATTGCTCCCACATTAAACGGCGATACTTCTTCTGCTATGCCGCGGGCATAAACAACGAGAGAGCTTGGAAGCTCAGGGCCCTAAGTTATTATTATTATTATTATTATTATTATTATTATTATGCAGCGAAGGTGTAACGAGACTTTACCTCCTGCGGAAGCCGAGACCAATGAGAATAGGACTTGAACAGAGGGGATTTTAAAGGGATCGATGATCTGGCAAGTGGGAAATGGAGAGAACATCTAGTACGCGAGCTATTATTGAACCATCTTAAATGCGCAAGTGCATGAGGAGGAGCAAGTTGAAGCTTAATACGGTGAATGAATATGCAGGCCGAGTGGGGAAAGCGTTCTGAGAGAGGGGAAGAGGAAGCCAAAATGTATAGCGTCTGAGAGGAGGTCAGAGGGGGCATGCGAAATATTAATCGAAGTAATTTACGGTGGGTGACTTCTAACCGATGCATAAGAGCGGAGGATAGACCGGAGGACCAAACGAGAGAGCAGTAATCAAACAAAGGAAGAACATAAGAGTGATAAATTTGTATTCGACAACCATGGTGTAGATGGGAGATGTGAGGAGAAATGCAGCCTATCGCGGAGCAAACTCGCTTTTCAATATAGGTTACGTGCGAATCCCAGGACAAGTGTTCATCAAGAAATATACCAAGGTGTTTGTGATTTTTAACAATGTTGATAGCAATGGGATCATCAGGGAAAGTAAAAAGCCGAGTCGTAAAGAGGGTGAGGTCACTGGAGGGTCGTGGGGGGATACAAAGGATTGCCGTTTTCGACACATTGGGGCGGAGTTTCCACTTCGTTATGCTTTTAAGAGAGCATGTCTGAGAATACCAAAGTATGTGTGCAAGTGGATCTCTCCGATTTCGCTCAAAATTTGCAGTAAGGTTCCCCTTGGGGTGAAAAAGTTTCTAAAGGGAACCTTGAAATTTGCATACGCCTCAAAAATGGTGAAAATATCACATAATTTATGGGTCTAGAAACGAGTCACGCCATAGGTGACCCGGTACTGCATTTTGAATCGGGTCGAAGCGCCGCCAAACCGGTAGGATTACCCGGCTCACCCGGCGCTGGAGCAGACACTGCTTTTAACAGTTGTCCTCCTTGTATTACATGTATTGCACGCCTACATGTATACGATGTATTGTACACCTTCTATTCAGTTCTTCCTCTAAACGTATTCTTCTTGCACAGGTGCCATGTCCTGACCTTTCACATTCTTCTGCCCACACAACATGTACATGTACCTTGTAGTTGGACCTTTCTTCTTACTTCTCTCTGCTCTACGTATCCCCGGACCATAGGCTAGCTTACTTACTCCCCCTATAAAAGCTGCTGCCTTTCTAGTTTCCTACCGATTAGTTTCTTGCCGATTAAGACCAACTCTCCGCAGATCAGTTCCTGTAGATTAGTTTCATGCTAGATTACAGTGTACTACCTGAGAACTCTTTCTCTCTCTCTCTCTCTCTCTCTCTCTCTCTCTCTGAATAATTGTGCAATTCTGTATGATAACCATTATCCATTACTGTAACCGCTTGCTCTACCGACTGAGTGAAACCGGGACTTAACAGAACCCTGAATCTGTTTTCAACGAAACGAGTACGAGCCGAAAGAATATTTCGTTCCGCATTCGATTCGTAGCTACCGCGAAAGGTCCCTAGTGTTTATCTTGTATTCTACGTGTAGTTTTTGCACGTGTAGTTCGTAGTTCATTGCACAGTTTTTTTATTATTATCACGGCAGTAGTGGGATATTACCATTTGCATAGGTGTTTATTCTGACTTTGCTTCCCTTTCATAGTACCTTTATTGAATGTTTAAAGAGTCGGCGTGGAGAAAGCAATTTTATTACTGCAATTAAGAGTATAATAGATGAAGACATGGCCAGACAACAACGAGTTCATGGAATATTTTAAGAATTTTTATGTTATTCAAAATCGAAGTAAACAAAGGAAGCATGTAGTCGCGCTAAAGTTGTTCTCGTAGCTGGTTATCAAATGTAAATGTTGTGTCATGCTGCCCTGTATCACCTCATGCTTTGTGCCTGCACTCAGTTATATATGCTAGCACTATGTTTGACACCTATCATGTAATACTGTAGCACTTCCTTTTTAGTTCACACTTTTAATTATGCTGTTATAAAATGTTGTTGTTTGTACACAGTACCCTCAGTTCCGATACTATTCACTGATGAGCGGACCACGAAAATCGATTTTGAATAACATAAAAATCCTAAAAAGAAATTCCATGAACTCGTTGTTGTCTGGCCATGTCTGCATCTATTATACTCTTATTGAATGTTCTCTTTTGAATGTTCTATTTATTTATACAAGGGAGTTTCCCGAGGAGTGCTGTGCAAAAACTAGGTGGAAGCAATGTTTTTGGCTCATTATTTATTACCTCATTCTACCTAGCATCTTTTTCACCGCCTTCGTGTCCACGCTTTTTTAACACAATCTAAGGCTCCGTCATCTGTCGGTTTGGCTCGTTCTTTAGATCGCAATTCGATTGATTCCCGACGCTTTTTAACTTAGAAGAATAATTTAGAATTTACATTTAACTTCATGAACTAAGACTTCCTTAGAATGATAAACATAGAAGAGACCGACCAATCCCCTGAAGTCCACCTTCATCACATGACCTGGATGTCTAGCTGCACATATGTTGTCATGAAATAAAACTCGAAGTTACACGTCACTAAAACGAGATTCAACATTCAAAATTAGCGGAACACAATTTGTTTGTTTGGGCCTGCGAATTATTGTGGTTCCTGCTATACCTCTTAGTGGTATACGTACTTCCTGTCAGCAGTGGCACTCGCAACATAAAAATCAGTTCGACAAAATCATTTTTTTATATTTTGGAACATAGAAACAAAATAAATACACATGCACAAGTACATGTACGGGTCTAATCCAACCGAAACAAAAACAAGAACATCTTGAACAAGAGACAACGTCACGACAAACAGACAGCAAAACGACAAACAGTTGGAATTAGCCACACGACGACCTAACAAACCAATGACGGAATTGCCATCGGCTCTTTGCCAGCAGTTAATCCTCGGCGTTGAATACTGCCGGAAGCAACAGAGGTTCAGGGAGAGGTGGCTGCTCTTCAACCTGTCAAGGAGTGTGTTCCTCATGTTGCGGTGCTAGGTATGGTTATTGAGGTGGCTGCATTTGTTCTGTGGTTACGAGTGCTTCATGTTGATGTGTTCACGCATGTTGTTGTGGTGATTGCCGCTGCCATGGCTCCGAAATACGACCCTGCTTCGGCTATTACAGTTTACTGAGCCGGCTTATCTTCTGCAGGGAGAAACAGAAAAGATGTTGGAGGAACAACAATATAAGAAATTATTTCAAATTGGTGAGCATAAATACAACTACAAAACCTGGGAATCAGAGGGACATTATGGTTTTGTGTGCTAGAATTATTAGTTACCCTAGTCCTAACAATTGACATATCGGTCTTTTTTCTCTTCGCAAATTATCAAATAACAAGTGGACAAAATTATTCCAGACATTCGAGGGCATTACGGATTTAAAACAAATCAACCTTCAATCCTTCCGAACCTACCTTTCGGGTGGAAATACCAACAACGGTCTCCGTACCGGCAGCCTTTTTTTTTGTAAAAAAACGGGCACAGAATTCTGCGGAGGTGTTTCCGTAGCAGGCCCATGATGTACAATATCGAATAAACACAAGTGGAGCACTTTTCCGATACCGGTACATGCATGAACCGATGGACAAGACAAATATTTCAGTTCCAGGCTCAGCCTTTTATACTGTCCACCCCGTACCTTCTATCCTGCTTCGGGTATAAACCCTACGATCATACTTGTGGGTATACTGGATTAGTCGTGATCTTATTCTGCATACAAATATACTTTATTCCCGTAGCTATAATCTTATTCTGCATACAAATATACTTTATTCCCGTAGCTATGCAGAAGACGTTACTTCAGTACATGTACCGTCTGGCGCTACCAAGGGTCCACACAGCTTTAATTCCCGTAGCTTTGCAGAAGACATTACTTTACTAACGTCTGGCGCTAGCCAGGGTCCACACAGCTTTAATTCCCGTTGCTATGCAGACGTTGTTGTGTTGTTGTTTGGCTTTACTTGAAGTGGAGTTCCAAAACAGGCCTAAACCTAATGACAATGGTCCCACTGATAATAAGAGAAAATAAAAATATATAAAAATAGGCGGACACACAGAACCGAGGAGAAGATAGTTAGATAACTAATATTAGCACTGCAGCAGGGAAAAAAGTCACACGCACGACAACCGGGAAGTAAGGAGTGAGTGAGAGAGAGAGGGGAAGAGAGTGAGAGAGAGAGAGAGAGAGCTAGTGAAGCATATGACTATTTCGGCGCTTATCCTGAAAAGACGATAAGAAAGGGGCATAGGTAGCAGATTCATATCCAAATTCTGATAGTATAAAGGTCTTGAAAAACTGAACACGGCAAGAAAAAGCCAAAATTGCTGCACTTCGATTTAGTAGACCAATCTTAGCGGCAACGCGGCGTGCAACATGGCTTGTCATGGTTTTCCAGCTCATGTCTGAGTCGAAAATATTTGGCCGTTTTCACAACAGGCAGCGTCTGCCCATTACAAATGACATGCAGATCAAGTGCTTTAGATGGGGACGGGAGAATAGGCAATATCTGTGTCTTTCTTTCATTAAGAACTAAACCTCGGCCCTTCAGCCAGGTGGCCAGGTGCATAACAGCAGCTGAAAGTTGTGCAGAAACAGCTTCCGAAGACTCCCTGCTACATCGTATAGAGATGCCATCAGCAAACTGGATTGCTCCCACATGAAACGGCGATACTTCTTCTGCTATGCCGCGGGCATAGACAACGAGAGAGCTTGGAAGCTCAGGGCCCTAAGTTATGCTTTTAAGAGAGCATGTCTGAGAATACCAAAGTATGTGTGCAAGTGGATCTCTCCGATTTCGCTCAAAATTTGCAGTAAGGTTCCCCTTGGGGTGAAAAAGTTTCTAAAGGGAACCTTGAAATTTGCATACGCCTCAAAAATGGTGAAAATATCACATAATTTATGGGTCTAGAAACAAGTCACGCCACAGGTGACCCGGTACTGCATTTTCAATCGGGTCGAAGCGCCGCCAAACCGGTAGGATTACCCGGCTCACCCGGCGCTGGAGCAGACACTGCTTTTAACAGTTGTCCTCCTGGTATTACATGTATTACATGTATTGCACGCCTACATGTATACGATGTATTGTACACCTTCTATTCAGTTCTTCCTCTAAACGTATTCTTCTTGCACAGGTGCCATGTCCTGACCTTTCCCATTATTCTGCCCACACAACATATACATGTACCTTGTAGTTTGACCTTTCTTCTTACTTCTCTCTGCTCTTCGTATCCCCGGACCATAGGCTAGCTTACTTACTCCCCCTATAAAAGCTGCTGCCTTTCTAGTTTCCTACCGATTAGTTTCTTGCCGATTAAGACCAACTCTCCGCAGATCAGTTCCTGTAGATTAGTTTCATGCTAGATTACAGTGTACTACCTGAGAACTCTTCTCTCTCTCTCTCTCTCTCTCTCTCTCTCTCTCTCTCTCTCTCTCTCTCTCTCTCTCTCTCTCTCTCTCTCTCTCTCTCTCTCTCTCTCTCTGAATAATTGTGCAATTCTGTATGATAACCATTATCCATTACTGTAACCGCTTGCTCTACCGACTGAGTGAAACCGGGACTTAACAGAACCCTGAATCTGTTTTCAACGAAACGAGTACGAGCCGCAAGAATATTTCGTTCCGCATTCGATTCGTAGCTACCGCGAAAGGTCCCTAGTGTTTATCTTGTATACTACGTGTAGTTTTTGCACGTGTAGTTCGTAGTTCATTGCACAGTTTTTTTTTTATTATCACGGCAGTAGTGGGATATTACCATTTGCATAGGTGTTTATTCTGACTTTGCTTCCCTTTCATAGTACCTTTATTGAATGTTTAAAGAGTCGGCGTGGAGAAAGCAATTTTATTACTGCAATTAAGAGTATAATAGATGAAGACAGGGCCAGACAACAACGAGTTCATGGAATATTTTAAGGATTTTTATGTTATTCAAAATCGAAGTAAACAAAGGAAGCATGTAGTCGCGCTAAAGTTGTTCTCGTAGCTGGTTATCAAATGTAAATGTTGTGTCATGCTGCACTGTATCACCTCATGCTTTGTGCCTGCACTCAGTTATATATGCTAGCACTATGTTTGACACCTATTATGTAATACTGTAGCACTTCCTTTTTTGTTCACACTTTTAATTATGCTGTTATAAAATGTTGTTGTTTGTACACAGTACCCTCAGTTCCGATACTATTCACTGATGAGCGGAACACGAAAATCGATTTTGAATAACATAAAAATCCTAAAAAGAAATTCCATGAACTCGTTGTTGTCTGGCCATGTCTGCATCTATTATACTCTTATTGAATGTTCTCTTTTGAATGTTCATAGGTGTGCTCACCACTGAACATGTGTGCTCACCACTGAACATATTACTCCAAGAAATATAGAGACAAACATGAGAGTACGACCTAAAACGGGTCAACAAATGCTTGTAGACAGGCCAGTTCTAATGAAACTACAGCTCACACTCAAACTACCCACCATCAGCGTTAAGATACACGGGAATCGTACTGCCGTGATTATGCCCCTGGGACTGTAAAAAAGGAAGTAAATATTACCGCACTTTTCCAGTATTTTTGCATTCACCAGAGGTACCGGTATCCACACATCGCCAAATGATACAGTGCAATCTTTTCTGAATTTCCCATCGTATTCTCACCTGCATATTTATCACTCACCAGGGTATCATGCCTACGTACTTGTAGAAACTTATATCCACTAACACCACCAGTTACTAAACAATGAGCTCATGCGATAACATTGCACGACACTGACTGACGGTGTTTGTGTCCTTGTTTTTGTCCAAGTGTACAAATCCTGTTCCTATTTTATTAGTATCTTCAGTCACGAGTTTCCATTGGTAATTGTGACGAGAAAACGTTCTAAGGGTACCCCTCCAGCACTGTAACTGGATACTATATACATGTACAGTCAGAAAGTGCAATAACTAGGCACAAAACTTCCTTTTCGCAAAGCTTCCCCCTTTCTTTACTCATCTTTGATATTTACGACCAATCCAAGTTGCGTGGTGTGCTGCTTTGCTGCTTCGAATTGTAGTTAGACCGCTTTGTCGAATATCGTACTGGTCTCGTCATCGTCCAGTAATAATCGACATTCTTTGTTCCGTTGGGACTGTAGCTTTTGCTCGTTTTCGTTGCGCTTGCCTTCCCCTCTTTGGTCTTTCCATAACCTTGAACCTTCCAAGTTGGAAGGCTGTCGGTTAGCGCTACGGAGATGTGTTGAAGCTAGGTGTCAGGACGTCGAATCTCTCAACACTCTTGTCAGTTTTGTGCCTAGTTATTGCACTTTCTCACTGTATATAGTATCCAGTTACAGTAGTGGAGAGTTACTCTTAACTCCAATTCTTATGTCCTTTTCCTTTCTACATAAAAAACGTTCTGCAACAATTTATTCATCGCTATGATTTTGATATGGAAGCAGCTATGGGCCCCGAGCATCTAAAACATGTATTTTGGCTTTCGGTACGAAGTTGAGAATTAATGGAATGGAAAAATGCTTTGTCGAGCTCTTTCAAGCTGCGCTTCATTCATGAACCGATGGCGATTATCTCGTCAAATTTGGTTCAAACGCTTGTTTGAAGGTCTGGTTCAAGTTGTCAAGTAGGCTGGCGAGCAAAAACTGACAATGTTCGTACCTAGTGCACTAGTGACACCAGACCGGCTCACACGGCCAGACTATCGATGTGCATTGCGCAGTTTTGGTCAGGTGTCAGCCAATCCGTGGGTTTCCAGAGCGACAATTACAAATTTGGTGAGATCTTAGTGGAGCTGATGTCAATAGCGAAGCTGAATCGTCCCGTCGCCGCCGGTAGGGAAGAGGGACGAATTGTAGGCGAGTATATTAGTTGACGATCAATCGTGTCATTCCCAGAGTTGCAAGGGTATGCAAAAGCAACGCCGCCCAGAGCATAATTGTGCATTCCAGGAAGAACTCGGGCCATGACTCAGAACTGATTTCGTTGACTTGCCTACGTCTGTGTCACCATCTTTTAGTTCCTTTGTATCGTGCTCCTCCATGGAGGCCACGAAGTTTGTCTGTGTGGCAGACTGAGCGAAACTGTCATTTTCTATTACAAAGATTTTGGGGCATTTTACTTATTTATTTTATTTATTTATTTATTTCTGCACCTCGTGTCATGTCAAGACGGCCAACTGAGATCAACCACAGAAGAAGAGAAGAAAGACATTGAAGAGCCCGTACACAAAGTGGGATGGGATTAGCAACTTAAAAATCAATGGGATGTCCAGCGAGCTATGCAGCGGACGTGGTGACTGTAATTTTGTTTACTGGGAGATACTGAAGTGCTGTCTGACGAGGGTACGGAATTTGGGCATATCTGGAGCTTGTCTAAAACTGGGAGGCAGTTGGAGCCACGTGGAGTAGACGGACAGGAAAGGGGAATTTACCAATAATGTAGACCTAGCTAAGGGGAGGCGAACGCTGCTTCAGTTGTGCCACCTGACTTCAACCAATTAAGTTACTGTAAATTAGCAGGGTGCTGGTCAAGAATTGAAGACTACGTCAGTGCCCTATACCACCTTCAACAGGTACAATAATGTCCCAAAGATCAGAGGTTCT